GTTCAGCCTGGAGAAGAGGAGGCTCAGGGGAGACCTCATTGCTCTCTATAACTTCCTGAAGGGAGGTTGTAATGAGCTGGGGGTCGGCCTCTTCTCTCGTGTCATTAGTGATAGGACCAGAGGGAATGGTTTCAAGCTACGGCAGGGGAGATTCAAGCTGGACATTAGGAAGTATTACTTTTCAGAAAGGGTGGTCAGGCACTGGAATGGACTGCCCAGGGAGGTGGTGGAGTCACCGACCCTAGGGGTGTTCAAGGAAAGACTGGATGTTGTGTTGAGGGACATGGTTTAGTGGGAGCTATTGGTAATAGGTGAATGGTTGGACTGGATGATCTTTTAGGTCTTTTCCAACCTTGGTGATTCTATGATTCTATGATCCCTACAAGTCATAAAAGTGGTTCAAAGGAAGATGTTCAAAGGAGGACTAGAAAGCTGATTTTTCTGCCTGCCTAAATACCACAAAAGTTACGTAGTTGTCACTGACCTGGTGCCCATTTGACGCAAGCAACGTATGTTGTTGCAAATGCTTAGGTTTGGGCTAAAGCCAAAGTTTTATCAGTTTTCTGTGGCCTTGTCTTTATTAAGGAGAGTTTCTGATTAACTTCACAGTGGCACAGTTGTCCGTTTGAGGAGAGAAAATCAGAACTCATATGACAGCTGAGTGATGTTAGCGGAAAGAGGAAGCACAGGTAGCTCTACAAATGGACTCGTGTATACAGCCACACTGCCCGTACCTATCAGCCTCTCACCTCTCTGTCTCTTAATCCATCATTTAATTTAAATCAAATTTAGTAGAGAGTAAGAGGATTCAGAGGCATGATATTCCCACAGCTTTCCTGAAAATGAGTGTTCTAGGAGAAAAGAGATTCATTTAGATCCCAAGCGAAGAGATAGTACTCTGCATATGTTTTACCCTGAAACAGTGACAGCTGGCCACGAGTTTTGGTCAGCGCGTTAGATGGTAGGTCACAGCACATTTTATCTGCGCATATGATCTCTTATCTTAGTCAAACAAGAGAGATGTGGGAGCCATGAATATTCAGGATGTGGTTCACTTGTGGAAGGTTAGGAAATAAAGGGGTAGGAACAAAATGCATTTCAAGGAGGCCTAAATATTGAAAGAGGATATTCAGATATTGTATAGGATGTGGGAGGGAGTTGGGAGTATTGTAATGGTAGGGCATCAAGACTATAGGGGCAGCTTTGGCTATTGTGATAAGATGGGAGGGTGTAACTGATATGAAAGAAGGCTTTGTTACAGCCACTGCTGGTAGAGCAACTTGTTTTCTCACAAGTGAACAACAGACTGTGATCTGATAGTAATAAAAGACTTTCTATAGGAACAAAGAAAAGCATAAGTTGCAGAACTACAGATACTGGAAAATGAGAGAGAGACAAAAGTGCCTGGATTAAAGTAACTTAATGCAAAGATCAAAAAGCAAAATGCTAGGGTTGCGTCAATAACTGAATAAAAGGAAGAAAACCATAGTGATGTTGTGTACTTATGCGCTTAATGAATAGAAACTACATTTTATATCAAACATGAAGATTACTATCAAAGTTACATATATGAATATTTGCATGATCTGTTGACATGATAGTTTATGTACGTTATTAGAGAAGGGAACAGAACAGGGGAATCAGATGAAAAATCAGCTGATTATCCAGATCTGCAGTTCCTTACTTGCTACCATCTGGTTGGTGACCTGTTAAGAGAGTCACCTGGTAAAGGTCAATCTACACGCTCAAATGCTATTAATGTTGATGTATTGTTCTGCGCACTTCCAGGTACCTCTAGGCTTTTATGATGGCAGGACTCTGAGAATCACTTTTGAGCAGACAGAGGATTCACCTATCAAAGTGGGGCATGAACGCCTTTGCCAGCAGGTTTGCTGATCTCCTAAGGAGGGCTTTAGACTGGGTTACTGAAAGATAGAGACATAAGCTGGAAGAGAGTTGTCCCAGATGTACTGGCAGAGAGGTGATGATAGATGGTGGGATAGCACATGCAGGACAGTGTGGTGGCAAAGGCTGTCCCTCTCTGCCTGAGAAAGCAACGTGTGTGAAGCTCTAGCACTCAGAGCTGGGAGAGACCAGCTGGAGGTCTGGCACACATTTGGGAGGACCTCAGCTGGCTGGAGAAGTGGGACAACAGGTGCTTCTTGAAGTTAAACAAGGACAAATGTAAAATCTTGCATCTAGGTCAGATGTTTTTGGCAAAAGAATCTGGATGCATTTCTGCATTAGTTTAGGTCCCTGACATTTTTTACACACTTGGATGAGCTCCGCACTGAACATTATTATTAGGGTGTAAACTCTAGCCTGAACTCCTTCAACCAGATTGCCTTGCTGTAGTGTATTTCTGAAAGTAACTATGCTTTATGCATTTAGTCTTACACAAAATTTCTTTACAACTTCAATCAGACCCTTTTTCTGTATAAAGACTGTAGTGTTGTACTTGCCTAGACATCTTCCCAGCCTTCTTTCAGCACAGCTCCAAACAGCCAAAAGAGAGGAAATCCTTCTGAGGCCTTTAGGGCTTTGCAATAACAAAAGCAACAGGAAGAATATCTCCAAGTAGCAAAAATAAATTTGTATTAGATATGTCTATTTAGGAGCTGAATATTCTAAATATTCATTTAATTTTGCTTCACATATACCCCTTAATGCAAGTGGAGGAAGATATACAACTCTGAGAGAGCTAAGACTTAACTGCTGGATTACAGAATCACAAAATAGCCAGGGTTGGAAGGGACCTCAAGGATCATTAATCTCCAACAACCCTGCCACATGCAGGGCCACCAACCTCACCATTTAATACTAGACCAGGCTGCCCAAGGCCCCATCCAGTCTGGCCTTGAACACTTTCAGGGTCGGGGCATCCACAACCTCTCTGGGCAGCCTGTTCCAGCACCTCACCACTCTCTCTGTAAAGAAATTCCCCTGACATCCAACCTGAATCTTCCCTCCCTCAACTTAAAACCATTTCCCATTAGTCATACTGAGTGCAGAGAGACTGGCTTAGGACATACCTAACCTCACAAGCACAAAGATATTTTACAGATCTCTTTCAGGGTTCTACTACATCATTTTCAGCTCGCTTATAAATTGCGTTCCTTCATGGATGGGGAATTGGGTGGGGATGCAGAGAAGACTAATAGCCCCTGTTAAAAGGCTACCAGTTGCTAAGCAATTCTAGTTATCCTTGTTCCTTCTACAGCTCTCGTTCCCTGAAAAAAAATACAGTTATATTTTTGTATATTGTTCCCTGACAAAAAAAAAAAGTCAGTTTATCCATTTGCCCTGCACATTGTATCTCACTGGCTAGTTTTAATGTTTCCTCTTAAATACTTGAAGCAGAGGGTACAGAACATGCTTTCCTAATCTAATTCTTCTTTCACTCCTCAGAACACACAAAAAAAAAAAGAAAAAAAAATCCACAAAAAGTCATCTGAGTAAACTCTCATTCTGCAGCAGACCTGTCATGCTATTGCTGACAAAGCCAGTTTTCCCTGTGTTGCTTCAGCATCAGGTTAGAAGAAGCTATTCTTTTCTTTACCTGTCTCAAAAGTACAAATTCTATCACACAATTAGATATACAGATTAGGTTTAGTTTCAAAAATACAAGGTAACCGTAATACAAATAGTGTTATGGAATACGTCTACTGATTTATATTTTATTATCATTA